AGCTGAAATAAGGTTCTTGCAGAGAATTCCTGACTCTTGCATTTCTATGGAGACACTGAGATCTAGTAGGAAAAATATTTTGATTGTCAGTTAAAGATAATTCCATCAGCTACATTCTTCCCAAAGTCAGAAGTTATGTTTTACTGGCAGCACATGCCAACATTTTTCAAAATGGTCCAGTGTTAGAGTAAGATAAGGAATGTCAGTTCTCAATATCATAGATACAAAAATTTTAGCAAATGTAGTGTTAATATCTAGTCAGGAATAGGTAGTCAATGTCTTCCTACCCACCAAATTTTTTCTACATACCATGTTCATTTCCAAATTCTGAGTATTTAGTGACAAAGACGCACTCAGGATTTTTGGTAAAAGTTCAAATCTGCTCTGCATTTTGCCTCAGAGTTAGTGAGAAGCAGATTTCTTTGGTACAAGTAGCTATGTTTTTATCGTGAAGCAAATACAATGTCATAAGTAATTTAAATGTGATTGGGAACATCGTAGAAAACTGAGACTGTAATAATTCCTATTTATCCTCTTTCTCAAACTCTAAGTTACTCAGGCAGATGTGACTTTTTTCTCCCATGTCTATGGACTTTCTTTCACACACTGTGGATACCATCACTTCTCAGAAATTAATCATGATAAATCTGGAAAAGCTCTTAACATTAGGATTCAGACAACTGTAGTGTAGAGGGCTCTCCTAAAAGCCAGAAGTGGTTATACTCTGAAGAAAGATCAACAAAGTACTATTAACTTTTAAAATAAAATTATTTTAAAATATTTTCTCTAATTCCAGAAACGTACATTCAAATTTTCTCTCCAAACTAAAGAAATAACATATTTTTCCAAACCAAAATTATTTATGAAGAACAATGAAAATTGCAAAGAAAAAAGTTCTATTTGCTGAAACTGAGGGAGGATTTCTAAAGGAAAATGAGATTTAGAAATCAACTTTGTCTTTTAAATTTTTTCTGTTTCATAAAGAAATCTACCAGATTAATTGAAAGAGTTGCACTTCAATCTGGAACCTAATCATATATGACAAATTAAGGTTCATGTGAGCTTTTTTTTTTAAAAAAAAAAAAGCTACAAAGTTTCACTGAAGAGTGGATTTGGAGACAAGTTGTTTTGTTTTACTAGCCTCAAATTAGAGGGTTGTTTTCATGCTGGATGTGTTTCTACAGGATCGGGGAAGAAAAAAAATGCCATCTGTTTATTCACAGGGAAGCACAACTAGAACACTTGCAGAGAACTGCTATATGCCATGCAACTGTTGTGACTACAGCAGTTCAAAAAATATCAAAAAAAAATAATTAAAAATTAAAGAATGAAGACTGCAAGAGGAATTTTAGAAATGTTTTCAGGTGGACAACTTATTGACCCAAAAAAGGAAAAAACAGTTCAGCTGTATAGACATTATATTGTTAGCATTACATATCTGATCAATATCCAGCAGAATACACTGAGACTGAACAAACTTCCAGTAGACTAAAGGAACCTGCTTTAGGAATGTTTTGAGATACATAAGGTGACTGCATCTATAATGACTACTGAGCATCACTCCAAACTCAGAAAGTTTTTCCCTTTTAGTCTTAGTAGAAGGCTATGAAGACTTCTACTCCTCTAATAGACAGAAATGTTCTGAATTCCATCTAAAACTACTAAAGGCCAATGTTCTTTATGTCACAGGAATATTCAGCTGTATTGCCTTTCACCTTTCAACTTGCTAAGGAAGATGAGCCAAACTCATCTAAATCTTGTCTCGTAAGACAGGGTCTTATTCCCCATGTATTCCTTTTGTCTTTTTCACCCATTTCTTCCAGTTTGTTCCTTTTGAACATGAGTGAGCATAGCTACAAACAATATTTTGCATGGAATTTCATGAGTGGCTTGCACAATGGTGCTGATGTGCCCATATGATGTGTCCTGCTGAAAATGCATTGCCGTGTGTATTCCAGGATCATACCTGCCTTATTCATGGTCTTGCCCCACCAAAAATTCTCTTGTGATCAGCTGGTTCACACCTTTTTCTTTTCTAGTATTTTCTCCTAATAAGTTCCCAGTTTACAGCAGAATATTTTAATCATTAAGTAAATGACTTTGCATGCTGCACTGTGAACTTTCTCCATTTCTATTACTCAGTCCTTAATGTCACCCAGATCCAATTTGACTCATTACTGAGAATACTTCTTAATACTATCTTATTAGCAAATGGCAGTGCCAGTTCTACTTCTTGTTTTGAAGTCATTAATAATAATGATAGGATCAGGGTAAGTTCATCAAGAAAATCCATTAGTACTACAGTTCCAGATACAGCTCTACCCATTAGTTAATTATATACTTTCGAATCTGTGCACTTATATTCAGCTTTGCTAACAACTTCATACATGGCATTATATCAAGTACTTTACAAAAGACCACCTTTGGTAAATGTTCAGATAAGGCTTTCTAACGTGTGGGATGTGGGGGTGTGTTTGTCCATAATGAAATAAAATGCGCCCTACCAGTCAGTTTCCAGTGGAAAATACTAAAATGCAGAAGAGGAATGCTGATGTAAGATTTCAGTGAGTTGTGGGGCTCCTTATCAGAGTTCATTTAGGTCTGCTTTGTGATCACTCTTTTGAGCAAGGAGGGCTGAAATCAAAACAGTGAAGGGAAATCCTTAGTCAGCTACCAAGAACTCTAATCTTAAACTATCAGAAGAACTAAAAATGCTAGAAGCATTAGCTATATGGTGTGGTATAAAGAAAAACTACATGAAAAGCAGCAAGTACTGATAGAAATTTCAAAAACTTGGTAATGTTACTTTAGCCAGACCACTAGAAATTAAATTATAAAATATCTCCTTCCAATTCTGTATTAGAATTCTAACTGAAGAGAGTCTCTCATCAGCCACCATGTGATTATATTGGTAATTATCATAAAGAAAAATATTCCACACCAAGAATTTTACTTTTACTTGTCTTCTTGTAGCAATGGTCTTACAAAAAAAAATAATAATTGTTGTACTAGACATAACTATAAACAACATTTCTTTTGTCACCTAGTACCAAAGGAAAACTGGGGCAGACCTGTGACATGAGGTCCTTTTCTGCATGCTCAGCTGCAACCAGATGTATCATATGACATCTCTTGTTACAGGAATTAAGTCGTATTATTTATTAGATCCTCAGGAAGAAATGGGGGTTTTTTTGCTAATATCTAGAATGCACTTTTAAGGTATACAATTTTAAGGATGATTAAAAGAACGTAGACAAACAGCTCAAATTTGCCAAACAAAACTCATCCTTAGCTTAAATCTCTTAGTGGAAGCACATGTGGGACAGATTAACACACCAGACTTAAAATTCACTCTTCTTAAACAAGGTTCTTATTTTTCATTTCTCATTTTACTCTGCTCCCCAAAACTGCTTTTCCACAAAGACCTTTGGAAAGAACTTAAGCACCAAACGAACTTAATGATTAGGTAGAACAGCAATTCGGGGAAGTTCTTAAGATTAATTAATAAATTAATCAGTGACCTCTATGCAAATCATTCTGGTAACCACCTTGTTATATTCTACCCTTCTTACTCTCTTTGATTATCCTGGACTTCATAACTCTGTTTATAGTTTTCTTACAAAAATAAACACCCACGCTTTACTTAGGTTATATAATAAAAGAGCCACAAACTGACAGTAGATACAGTCATAATAAAGCATGCTGGGAGTCTCTCCAGGAAATACAATGTTTGCTCGTAAAGTGGTTCAGGAGTGCTTACAATATTTTGCTGTCGTATATAAGAACTGGAGGGTTTTCTCCTCTTTTAAAGAACAGTTCATTGTTTTGACAGTAACTCAAATCCTTAAAAATTTTTATGATCATCAAAAATCATTTGATTTGTGAATGTTGTGAATGTTGTGAATGCCTCATGCAACTTTTCCCAACCCAACAATTAACAGTTTGGGGCATTCTTCTTATTATTTTAGTGAAACATCAAAAGTCTATGCAGAATGCATATAGTTTTTCTTCACAAAAGCTAGTTTAAAAGGAAAAGTCTTTCTGCTGACAAAACAAAACCCCTGCTAATAGAAAATGTTTAAGCTGTTTTACTGCCTGAGTCCTTTTGAATATCCCAAGTGACAACTGCTCAAGAAGTGACAACCATAAAAGCTTTTTCAGTGATGTTAACACCAGCCTGGTGTCAGATTGCCTTTCTCAAAATCTACAAGACTTTCCTGGCAAAGTCTGTGCCAAAATTTTTGCAGAGGGCTCCCATCGATTTATACCTCAAGTACTGAAAATGAAGATGGCTTTCCCCAGGTTCAGCACTAGTTCAGCTCTCCCTGGAGCAATGCCCCCGGTGTGGGGACTGCAAATCAAGGAATATGTTGCAAAATTGGGAGAGAATTCAGAGAAAAACTGTCAGACCAACTAGAATTGGAAAACAAGTGTTGCATGGTCTTGTAACAGAATACGTTTCGTTTATCAAAGAGAAGGTTGCAGGGCTATCCAGCTGCAACCTTAAAATGCACATAATACAGCAACAAAAATATCACAGCAGGGATTTTAAAACAGCAAGAAAAGCTACTGGAAGCCCTGAGGATTGGAAACAGACACCGTGCAAAATCTAGATTACAAGCAAGCTACAAAGTCATGATTCTGAACATGTTAGGAAGAATCATGATAGCTTTCAAACAAAGAGTCAAGCTTTTAAAGTATTCGCGGTCTATTTCAACCCTAAATTTGGTATTTAAAACAGAAGATCATTCTAGAAAATCCTGTTCTATGCAGTGGAACCAATAAGGTGAATACACTGGTCCATTCTGTCCTTAAAATCTATGATTTTCTGAAAGCCATTTTCTCTGACATAACACTGTCCAGTCACAATGCAGCAGTTTCAGTCTAATTTATTTTTTTTTCTGTCTTCTGTTATGTTTTGTTTGCTTTGCTGGGTTTGCATTTTTTGTTCCTTTTCTTTTTTGTTGGGTTTTTTTGTTTGTTTCTTTCTTTTACTCCAGGAATTGGTCAAGGGGTTCCTGTGGTGGCCCTCATTGTGGAAGGAGGTCCCAATGTTATCTCCATCGTTCTGGAGTACCTGCGAGACACTCCTCCTGTTCCTGTTGTGATATGCGATGGCAGTGGCCGGGCATCTGACATCCTTGCCTTTGGTCATAAATACTCTGAAGAAGGAGGGTAAGTCGTTTCCTGGCATGTGTCCTTTCTCCATCCACTGGTTCAATTTGGGGGTAAGATAGAGCCCAGAAAATTATTAGCAATATAGCTCAAAAAGCAATACCTTCCACACACAGCTATTTCCATCATCAAAATATTGAAATATTGAAGGCATCCAAGCCCCACTGCATCCCAGAAAATAGGGACTTAAAGCAACACTTAAGAAAATTTACAGAATTGAACAGAGGAGTAGAAATTAAATCATAAAATTACTTGCCATGAGGTGCAATGCATTAACGAGTACAGTATATGACGTCTTGCAGTTGCAAGTCAAGGGATTCAGTCAAAGGGCACAGGGAGTTATTTTCACTGGCTTAGATATGCTATGTCATTCTTCAGGTTTCATTCAGCCCTACATACCCATATGAGATAGTTTGTATTTGCCTTGCCTTTTGGGCATAATTTTGGGCATAATTCTCCACACTTACCTATATTCACATATGACTACTCATGCAATGATCTTTGTTTGCGCAGTCCCGCCTTTCTTTGCAGATAGCATGTTAGTATTTAGCTTTTAATATGGAAGATTCAAGAGTGTTTTTGTTGAATCAAGCTGTAAGCATGTGCTGCAAATCCACAATGCGTATTACTACTGAATACAAGTATTCAATATTCGTTGTTCTTCTCCTTTTTCCCAAAAAATATGTAAACGACCATGGAATCACAGAACAGTTGAGGTTGGAAGGGACCTCTGGAGGTCCTCTAGTCCAATACCCCTGTTCAAGCAGGGCAACCTAGAGCCAGTTGCCCAGGATCATATCCAGATGGCTTTCAAATATCTCCAGGAATGGAGACTTCATAGCCTGCTGGCAACACTCCTCCTAATGCAGCCCAGGATACCATTAGCCTTTGTTACTGCAATGCACATTGCTGGCTCACATTCAACTTGGTGTCCACCAGGACTCCCAGATCGCTTTATGCCCAGCTGCTTTCCCACTGGGATGCCCTCAGGATGTACTGGTACATGCTCTTATTCCACCCCAGGTGCAGGACTTTGCATTTCCTATTGTTGAACTTCATGAGGTTCCTCTCAACCCATTTCTCCAGCTAGTCAAATTCCATCTGCCAGTGGGCAGCATGACTGTCTGGCATGATAGCCACTCCTCCAAGCTTTATATCACCCATAAACTTGTAGAGGGTATACTCAGCCCCATCTTCCTGATCATTAATGAGGATGTTGAGGAGGATTGGACCCAGTATTGGTCCCTGGAGTACACCACTAGTTGCTGGCCTTCAACTAGACTTCATATGACTGATCACCACCCTTTGGGCCCAGCCATTCAGTCAGTTTTCAATTCACTGTCTGCTTCTCCAGCCCATACTTCAACAGCTTTTCTATGAAGATCTTATGGGAGACAGTGTCAAAGGCTTTACTGAAGTCTACATAGACAATATCCACTGCTTGACTCCAGTCTACCAAACCTGTAGTTTCATCACAGAAGGTGATCAAGTTGTCAAGCATTACTTCCTCTTGGTGAATCCATGATGGTTACTCCTGATCATCATCTCTTTCATGTGCCTGGATATGGTTTTCTGGATTCGCTGCTCTTCATCACCTCCCCAGGGATCAAGGGGGGAGCCTACAGGAACAGCCTGTAGTTCCCTGCGTCCTCATTCTTGCTCTTCATGAAGACAGGAGTAACCATTGTTTATCTCTAGCCCTCAGGCAATTCTTACAGTTGAAATGATTGTTCAAAGTTTATGTGATGGCCTTGCAATGATATCAGCCAGCTTCCACAGCATTTGTGAATGCATCTCATGACACGAGCCCATGGACTTATGTATGTCCAGTTTGTTTAAGTATTCAATGACCTGATCCTCTCCCACCAAGGGCATGGCTTTCTTCCTCCAATCTTTCCTCCTTCGTCTCTGGAATTGAAGGCAGCACTCAGTACTTCAGTCTTTCACATGTCCTACACCATCACATCCCCTGCCCCATTCATAGAGCTTGAGGAGGTGATACTTGAATATTAACTAGATTTCTCAGGCTCCTCTTCCCTCTGTGTCTTATGCCATAAGACTCTTCCAAGCAGATCTCTAAAGAGGCCAAAGTCTGCTCTTTTCAAGTCCAGGGTTATGGTCTTGCTTTTTGCCCTCTTCCTCCTCTCAGAATCCTGAACTCCACCACCTCATGGTCACTACAGTCAAGGCTGCCTTTGATCTTCACATCCTCACTAAGTCCCTCTTTGTTGGTGAGTATGAAATCCAGAAGAGCACTTCCTTTCATTGGCTGCTCTATCACTTGCATCAAGAAGTTCTTGTCAATGCACCCCAGGAACCTCCAGGATTGCTTATGCCTTGCTGTGTTGTCCCTCTAGCACATATTGCATTGGTTAAGATTTCCCGTAAGTGCAAGAACCTGTGAACATGAGGCTGCTGCTAGCTGTCTGTAGAGGGCCTCATCCACTTGCTTTTTCTGGTGGTGCAGCCTGTAGCAGACGCTCACTACAATGTTACCCTTACTCATCTTCTCTTTAATCCTAACCCATAAACTCTCAGTTGATTTATCATCCATCCCTAAGCAGACCTCCATGCTGTTCTCACATAAAGGGCAACTCAACTCCTCATCTTCCTAACCTGTCTTTCCTAAAAGCTTGTATCCCTCCATTGCAACACCTCCAGTCATGACAGACATCCCACCATGTCTCTATGATTCCAAAAAGATCATGGTGCTGCAACTGCACACAGATCTAACTCATTATGTTTATTCCCCATATTGTGCACACTAATATACAGGCACCTTCAAGAGGCACCCCAAGCATACTGAGTTCTCAGGAAGGGCTTTGGGTATTTCTTCATCATGGTACCCTTTAGGCACTTCCTTACTTCCATAAAAATGACAGAGGTGAGCCCACTTAAGCCCTTGTTTGGTGATTTTGTAATCCCTTCCCATCACACCACTCCAAACTCTTTGCTCATCAACCCTGTGCATCACAGCCTCACAGAAATGTTGATGACTCTCTCACCCTTACCCAGCATTCCCACTTTAAAGCCCTTCTTACCAGGTCAGCCGTTTTGACAAAGGTGACTTTGCCCTGCTTAGTGAGGTGGATCCCATCTCACACAAGGAAACACTGATCTGCAAACAGGGCCCCATGCTCATAGGGCACAGAATCCCATCACCAATATCATCTCTGCACACAGTTATTGGCCTATATTATCAGTGCCCACCTCCCCACACCTTTTCCTCTGACCAGCAAGATTAAGGAGAACACCACCTGGGCCCCTGTGCCCTTAACTGCTGCTCCCAGAGCTCTGTAGTCACCTCTGATACTCTCCAGGCTTCCCCTTGCAGTATCATTGGGGACCATGTGGAAGAATAGCACGGGTAGCAGTCAGATGGTCAGAATAGCTTTGGCTGTACCTCCACCTCCACAATATCCCAGTTCTAGGCCCTAGCAGGGAGTAAACCTCTCTAGTTGATAGGTCAAGTCAACAGATGAGTATCTCTGTTGCTTACAGCAAGATGCTCATTATAATCACTCTCCACTTCTTCCTGGTGGTATTGCATGTGTTAGGGTCAGGTGGCACAGATCCTTTGCTTGAAGGCACACATGGCTCCTGTTCAACTTCAAGAACAGTGAATCTGTTTTGTGGCTGTAAGCCATTAGGTGGGACAGGAGCCTTACTCTTGGTGCCAGCAGTCACAAGTTTTCATCCTTTACCATCTCCAGAGGTTGCACTTACTTAATATTTCGTGTGGACACTGTCTTCACCTTTATTGCAATTGGAGTCCAGGGTTCTTCAAGCTGATGCATCTCAGAGAAGATTGTGTCTACCTCCTTTTAATCTTCTCTGACGCTTGGTAGCTTGCTACATTCATTCCGTAACTCCTATGCTTGGTGGCACAGCTCCTCCAAGACAGCAGACCTACAGGAAAGAAGGCCATCTCTCCTGGGAATCAAAGACAGACCCTGAAGCCTAGGGCTTGGTGAGCTGTATTCACCACCCAAAGCTCCATCTGCATCAAAGTCTCTGCTATGGCAGGGGGAGCTATTCCAGCACCTGCCAGGAAAAATACCCTGTGGCATGTCACCATCATACCTGAGACTATTTACAGCAGAACAAATGCAGTTGAGGCCCCCTTCTTTACCCTCTCTTGCACAAGCTGCTGCATCTGTTAACTGTACTCTTGGCCTGGTTCTTATATGCACCTCTCCCAAACACAGGCTAATAGGTGCTTGGCCCTCCCTTAATTAAGGGGTCAGTTGCAAATAAAGCTACAGGCACCCTGGGTCAAGGGCTGCTCATCATGCTCTTTAGAAAATGCTGGTGTTCTCTCATGCCCACACCTTTGTGGCTGACCTTACCTCGTCCTTACCTGGCAGCAGCAGGCACCTTCATAGGGTTCCCTGGTGTTTCGCAACGGTCATGGACTTTGTTCCCAGCAGCTCCCAAAGCAGAGCCCAGAGTCTGCTGCTCAGCGTAGGAAAGAATGGATAACAGAGGACTTAATAATCTGAGAACAAAACATCAAAGTGGAATCAAAACCCCCTCAGATTCTTATAGCTAAGCGCCATTTCATGCATTTTGTCTAAGTAGCTGCAGTAATCTGATCAGGATTCACTGGAGACTCATTTTTGTGTGTGTTAGAATATGTGAAGAAATGTATTCACACCTACAACAGAGTTAGGCAAATAATAAAAAAAAAATCCATAAACACTGAGCTGCTATAGACCAAGCATGTTTTGTAAAAATAAGTATGATCATGAACTTACTCAACCTAAAACTCCTACTGGGAATAAGAATTTCCACAAATGTTTAAAGCCATTTTACATTCAGGTTCATGTATAGTCAAGTGCTGCATCTGGGATAGATCTGAATGTGCCAGGTTTCATCTGAATCTGAGAAGTTTTTTCTCTGTTTTTAGTGACCTCACAGTTAATATAGTTATCATTCTTAAACATGTTTTATCCCTTTCTTTGCTATGTACCTATACAGTTTCCATCTACCTTGTCTGT